GGCCAGAATCGGACTTCCCCAGAGTTGGTCAGATATTCCCCTGGTGGCCTCAAGAGCAAACTGAAATTTCTGTCTTCCGTCTGCCTCTGTCTACCGTTCTGTCTCCTCGCCGTCTCAGTCAGTCTTCTTGAATAAGTTGATTCTACATAGTACGCCCTCTTCCTCATCTCTCATTCAAGTTTCTAGCGATGGAGAGCAGGCTTCTGTTGTCCCTGCCTCTGTATCAAAACTACCCTTGCCAGGTCAATCATGGCCTCTTCGTTGCTGAAACCAAGAGACACTGGTTTCCCTTATCTCACCCGACCTCCAGGCAATCATGGGTATTGTCCTTCACACCTCTATTTTTGAAACACTCTTCCCCCAGGCTCTTCTAATTTCCTGCCACCTTTGCAGGCTCTTACTCCTTTGCCCAGTCCTTAAATGTTGGTGTCCCTCAGGGTTCTAGACTCGATTGTCTGCTTGTCTCACTCTACTTCTCCCCAAGGATGAGCTGAACCTGCCTTGGCCCCCATCCATGGCCTCTCTAGGTGTTGACTCCTAATTTCCTACCTGTAGCTCAGCTGTCTCTCCTGACCTTTAGTCCGTATTCCCAACCACTTGCGGGACATGATACCAGAATCTTTCTCACCCCAACGAGTTGTGTCCCCTACATGTGGTAGCCCTGTCCACTGGTTGTCCAAACCAGAAACTCGGGAGGAATTCTTGACTCTTTTTCTTTTTTATTCTCTATAACCAATCAGTCCTCAAGTCCTGTAATTCTGTCTCCTAAATGTCTCTCAAGTTCATCTTTCTCCGTATTCCCCACATCTTCACTAAGTGGATTTTGCTCTTTCAGTCTTGCCATCTTTTATAATGGAACAAGCGTGATCCTTCCCTTCCATGGCTCCTTGTCACACACGGGATAAAGTTCTAACTCCTGCACTTGACTGATAAGGCTATACGTGATTTGGTCAGTCCTTACTTGCTGCCTCTCACTGTACTCACTAGTCATCCTGAACACTCCTGAGGGCGCCCACCTCTTAGATTTCACACGTATTAGTTCTCTCTTTTCTCTAGCTCATTATCTCAGACCCACCCTTAGCGCCTGACTCAAGACACTTCTATTCAAGCCTTTGCTGGGGCCCAAGTGTAGATAAACTGTCCTGCCTACAAAACGCAGCACTTATTCCTATTAGAATATTTATCTTGCTCTAGTGGGGGATACAGACAAGTAAAGAGAGTGTGGGTCCTACCAGAAAAGAGAACAAAGAAAGGGTCTTTTCTTGCTCTTTACTGCTTGGACACCTGGCATAGCGCACACACTAAGATGCTCGTTATATACCTGTTGAATGAATCAATGAACTAACAAAGAACTCAGCAAGTATTAGAGTCCACATTCTTCTCTTGTTTCCACTTAGCCATTTTCAGGCTTATGTGCTCCCGCAATCTTTAATGAGTATTTAAGGCATTCCCATTGTGTCTCTCATTTCACTTAACCCTCGCAACTTCTTGTGAAGTTGGAATTAGCCTCATTCCCTATTTCATGCTCAGGTAAGAAGAGAGAGAGTTAGAACACTTGGGTTAGGGTTTTGGCCCTAAGTCCAGGGCCCTTTGTATGTTGATTTGGGCATCAAACATTAGTCTGCTTTGATTTCACCCCACTCTGTCTTCCATCCATTACTGTCCTGGTGACTGTTTCCATTGGCTAGAGTTCCTCTTCAAATTCAAAGAGACCTGAGCGTATGGAAGAGACATGAGCATCGTGCACATCTGGAGAGAACTCACCCAGAAATGCTGTTCCCCAAACTTGGTTCAGTGACGGCTCAGGAGAGTGGGGTTTGGTGTCAAAGAAAGCCAAGAGTTGAGGAAGGGGGAGTTTGTGAACTTGTATCACTCATTTGAGTGGAAATGGCTTCATTACGCTGGAAAAGTAATTAACCCTTGAGCATAGTATTTTGTGCTTTTGCCCCCGTGATGTGATATGAGTGATGCTTATCTCCAAAAGGGGAAGGAGAAAGCACATAATGAGTATGAGCTGTGGATCAGGAACTGGCATTATCTTCCCCAAGTTTTGTAAAGTAGGTATTTTGACTGGATGAGAAAAATTCTGGTTGGAGAAGTCACCCAGGTCACACCGTTCGTATGTGGCTGAGCTAGATTCCCACCGTTCGTATGGGGCTGAGCTACATTCAGAATCGGGACTGCCTGGCTCCTGGGTGCTTTGCGTCACATGGCAGACAGTGGATCCTTTTTTTTTTTAGTTTAATTTTATTTATTTATTTATTTTTATACAGCAGGTTCTTATTATCTATTTTATACATATCAGTGTATACATGTCAATCCCAATTTCCCAATTCATCCCACCACCGCCACCCGGCCCCTGCTTTCCCCACTTGGTGTCCACGTGTTTGTTCTCTACATCTGTGTCTCTCTTTCTGCCTTGCAAACCAGTTCATCTGTTCGGGGATTCTGGAGTCACGTTGCCTGTGTCCAAATATGGTTCTGTGACTCTACTAGGGTGTGTGACTTTGGGAAGCCACTTATTCTCTTTGGGCCTCAGTGTTTCCATCTCTTAAATGTGGATAATAGTCCTTCTTATAGAGTTGTGGTGAGGATTAAATGAGGATATAGAGGTAATATCTATAAGGTATATTCCTATACAAATAAAAGTTAGCTACCATCATCATCACCACCACCATTACCTTTGGTCCCTCTACTTGCCAGTAAGGCAGATTCTTCTGGGCCATGAGATAAGTGAGTATTGAAAGCATTCCTCTCCAAGACTTTAGTGCTCTTTGGAATTTAGCAATTGATCAGGGGTGTTGGGTGCATGGCTCAGAGCACAGGCCAGGAGGGATGGAAAGTATAGTTGAAAAGCAACAAAGTAGACTACAACTGCATGATGAACAAATAACTCAGCTGTTTAGTTGGGTGTGCTGTCATAGGAATTGGGCTATAAATAGGGTTAATGTTTTCAGGGTAGAGAGTAGCTTAAGCAGGCATGTTTGGATGTTCTACCTAGGAGCTGCCAAAAATATATATGAATTGACTTGATAAGATTAACAGTGATATTAAAAGTATACATCATGTAAAATTAATGTTTTGTGAGTTCTTATTAAATGTCTGGAACTGTGCTAAGCATTTTGTTCACAACAACCCTTAAGTAGGGAACACTTTTATTATTTCCATTTTATGAATGAGACAACCAGGGCTCACAAATGTTAAGTATGATCAAGGTTGTCCAACAGGTAAGGGGAAGAGCTGGCATTTCATCCAGGTCAGCCTGCCTCCAGAGTCCATGCTTTTCCTAATACATATTCCTGCTCACCTCCTTATACTGGGGCTTCTTAGTGATCTTGATTTCAAGAGCCTGATTCTGTGGATGACCTCAAGACCCAGTCTTCATTCATGTTAAGACTATCACGCTGAGGCAGATTCTCCAAAGCGGAAGGGAGGGGAAGAGCCTTCTCAGATGGAGAGATGCCCCTGAGAGTGGAAGCTGGGCTTTGATCTTTATTTTTTCATGGGCAGCATCTTCCTGCTTGAAACCAGAAGGCCAGCTGGCTCCCAAGTTCCTTGCAAGAGAACCAGGTCAGACTCCTCCTAGTACAACTTCATAATTACTGTTCTCTAATGAGAAATAGATTTCATCATAGCAACTAGAATTTATTTTAGGCCTTAGTTCCAAGAACCTATTAAGGTTTCCACTTTGCCTTAAACCAATTCTAGTATCTTCCTTTATTTATTTATTTATTTTATTTTATTTTATTTTATTGTGGTACACAGGCCTCTCACTCTTGTGGCCTCTCCCGTTGCGGAGCACAGGCTCCGGATGCACAGGCTCAGTGGCCATGGCGCATGGGCCCAGCTGCTCCGCGGCATGTGGGATCTTCCCGGACCGGGGCACGAACCCGTGTCCCCTGCATCGGCAGGTGGACTCTCGACCACTGCGCCACCAGGGAAGCCCTATTTATTTATTTTAAATTGAAGACTAGCGTGCCCTGAACTAAGATGTCTCAGCAGCATTTTTACCTAAACTCCTTCTTTTTCTTTCTTTTCTTTGTGGTTTTCCAGCATCCTTCCTTTTAGAGCTTTGAGTGTCTCATAAGCCTGGTCAAAAGGACTCTTCACACTGATTTAAACTTATGGGTGAGAGACTACAACTTACTCTTAAGAACTTAATTAGTTTTCCTGGTGCTGACGTTCTAAGAGGGGATGTTATCAACCATCCTATTTTTTTCAAGTCAGAACCTGAGAAACAAGATTTAAGGAAGGATTTTTCTCAACCCTTCTTGGTTCAAGAGGCCCTCTGGAAGATTTTTTTTTTTTTTAATTAACAGAGAGCGCAAGAGAAAGCATTTTGGTTTTTTTCAGGACACATAGGCACTACACATATAGGTCAGGGAGGAAATTGTGACTGGGTTTCTTACCCAACAGCTGTGTCTGTGTATGTGTGTGCTAGGGACAGACTGGGGCCCAGGGGGAAGGCAGTGTTGTTTTGATCCTTACAAAAAAGATGAATTTTCTACTATGGGGGAATTCACAGGTGGTTGCACTTTCCTGTAGAATTAGTAAATAAAATAAGTGGAGGTAATCTGGAATCTTCGAAGAACAGTTTAAATCAAGAGGACTTGCTGGACACAGCTAGGAATGGCTGCAGTCTGGGAGCTAATTCTGAGATCTGGACACATTATTTCCCTCTAATTCTTCCTCCCCTCCTCCTCCTTTCTCTTTTCCTGTTGTTTAGTGGGCGCTTACCGTTCATTAGACATTTTGCTAAGCAATTTACATACATTGTCTTATTTAATTTTCATACGAGCTTATGAGAGAAGTATGATTGTTATCTCCAGTTGACAAACAAGGAAATCAAGGCTCCTAAAAGTAAGTCACTTGCCCCAGACCAGGCAGAGGGAAAGGTAGAGCCAGAACTCAACCCCAGGTCTCTCCGTTCTAGACCTTGACCTCTCAACCATCACATCGTACTGCTTCCTCACTAAACGTGTCCTGTTCTTTGTCCCCAGGGACAGGATGAGAACATCTGTCAATGTTGTGGGAGACTCTTTTGGGGCTGGGATTGTCTATCACCTCTCCAAGTCTGAGCTGGACACCATTGACTCCCAGCACCGAGTGCATGAAGATATTGAAATGACCAAGACTCAGTCCATTTATGATGACATGAAGAACCACAGGGAAAACAACTCCAACCAATGTGTCTATGCTGCACACAACTCTGTCATAGTAGATGAGTGCAAGGTACCGTTCCCATTCCTGGATATCGAGACCTGTATATAACAGTGCATGCTCAATTTCTTAAAGCAAACACAAAGCCCTGCATGTATTACTGTCACATTTATTTTTCTAAAGAATCATGTAACTCAAGCGTCTGTGAGTCCCAGATCATCTAACTCTGTGTCTAACGTGGCAGGAAATCCACAAGTCTAACGGTGAAAGAGCCAATCGGTTGCTTGTTTTATCCATGTGATATAAAACAATCATTTTGACTCCCCCGTCCACCCACTTCACAAATTCAATCAGTTTTCTTTGAATATTACGCTCAAGAGTTTGTGGTTTCTAGGGCCTTGCTGGCTTTCAAATATTCTGTTCAAGTGAAACATCAAGAGAAATACCCAGAATCATTTGACTTACGTAGTACAAGTATTCCTTCTTGCTGTATATCATGTGTGGGTCAAAAGTGTACCCACATAACTTTGTGCAGCTCTCTTTCTCTTCATTATTTTTGTGGGAAGGTGAGTTTTCACCTGGCAATCACTTTGCCCCAAGAATGGGGAAGCAATTTCAAGTAAAGAATAACTCTCCTTCAGGACAGTTATCCGTAGATGGCTTTAAAAAAACACTATATGTCACATACTGCCTGGCAGCACCATTCTTCCTGAAGCATGGATGTTCCGGACTCTTTTCCAAGCTGTTGGATGCTAAGTCTTCAAGCTTGATGGGCTCTGTCCAGCCTTCATTGTAACTAACTTGACATTGTCAAAGTGTCATGACCAGAGTGAAGCAAACTTGGAGAAACCCTGGCAGGTGAGCAGTGTCAACTCTTAAGGGTTGTAAGTGGCAACTGAGGCCAATCTGAACCGAACACAGATTTCTGATACCTTTTTGACTCCTGTTGATGGATCTCATTTAATAGTTAATTTCTCCCTATGTTATTTCTGGGTCATTCCAACTATATGCCATGGCTTCTGCCAGACGACGAAGGATGACACAGAAGCAACCCCCTCTACTGGACTGTATCATAGGTGCAGCCACCATCTTTGGTTCATCCCCTCTGTATAAGCTACATGTGTGGGTAAACCAGGGCTCTGATGCAAATTAGGGAGGGACCCCGCCCATCAAGAGGCAATTGCATAAATTAAGTGGTTCAATTAAAACAATTAAAATTGTTAGAAATTCAGATGCACCTAAATGGTTTACTCCATTCTCCTGGAAAGTTCGTGTTTTCCGCATCTCAATGATTGTGCCGGATTATTCTCCATCAAAATGGTAGTTTTGGTGAACAAGGGTCAACATTCCATGGAATAGCTTTATGCTCTATTATACTTAACAAGTATTCATCGTGTGCCTTGCGGGGTTTAATTGAGCACCCCCATCTTATTCCTATGACCTCCTATATTTTGATTATTAGTCAAGTTTTATTGAGTGCCCATAATCGGCAAAGCCCTGAGTTAGGCACTGGAGGACAGCAAAATGAACGTGCAGTTGTATAGTGGAGATAACAGCTTGATCGCAATTACTTCCCTATGAGGAAAAATAGTAGTAGGAAACAAAATAAAATCACCACATATATTCTTTAACTTTGCAGTTATATATGAGAAGAGTCCTAGTGGTTAACTGCCTTTGGTGCGGCCCTTTTGGAGCGTCTCAGGAGAGGCTTCTTAACGATACTGTGTAGGACAAGTTTTGAGGAAAGTGCATAGGCATGGAGATGTCTTTAGATTTCAGACTTCCTGCACCTTTTTTTTTCCTTAAAGCATATCAAGCACATCAGGACAGATGTGCTTCGTTTATTTTAGCAAACAGTTCAGTCCCTAAAGGGAAATGTTGGTCAGCTGTCTCTATCACTGTGAAGTAAGCCCATGAGAGAGACTGTGTCACTGTTTATCACTGCTGTGCCCTAAAGCAGGGCCAGGCATGCAGTAGGCTGTTCAGAAGTATTTATTGAGTGTATACGTTTAGCATCTCGACCCCATGCTTTAATTCAGATAACCTTCTTTGCTGGACAGTTTGATAGAGATAGTGGCTCAGTCTTTCTAGGTAATCGACCACCAAACCAACCACCTGCAAACTCGGTGAATTAGTGTTTAGATGGTCAAATGGTGAAACTGAGCAGATCATGGAAATGATGAAACGGCCATATTGGTTTAGTAACTCTTTGGCGGTTTGCAGTTTTTAACGAAGTGATGGGTTCAGCTCAGTGAAGATTGTGAGGCGAGGCCAGTCGACCCTTCTCGCTCTAGACCAGTTAACTGAGTTGACACCTATATGCAAAGGAGGCAGTCAGAGCTGTGGAGATGAATTTGAAGGCTTTCCCAGAATATCTGTGTCCCATCTACTCCTGCCTTTGAACCTCCTTCTGGTCCATTCTCAGTCTCACTGTTTTAAAAGCTGAGTTGGGAGACATCACTGCTTACTGCCAGTTCTTCCCTTTTGGCTCTTCCATTACCCAGGTGTTGGGACGGAGCCGGGTGGAATAGACTGGGGGAACGGAGTCCCTGCTTCCTTTAATCCAGCCAGAAAAAGGAAATGCCAAAAAAGCTGCAGTCCCAGCTACTTCAGAGACACAGGTCTCGGTATTTGAAAACAACAGCCTCCCTGCCCCTGCCACCTGAGCTCTGTCTGGTTTTCCAAAGGCACCATGATTCATAATGTTGCACAGCTATTGATCTGGTTCATCACTGAAAGCCAAATAGGTACATTCAAGGTCATGGTGAACAGGCAGCTTGCTCCAGGCAGATAGTTTGTCCCTGGCTGTCTTTCCTGACAGTTCACTGAAGGGGAAACAAGTTTGCTGCCGCTCTGGTCACAACTTTAACCATTCTAAGCATTGTTCTGTCATGTTGGTCTCTCTATTTTCAAACTCTTGCCTTGTAACCGTAGTTTGAAGTTATGCAATGTTTTTAATTTTAATCAGAAGAATTGCATGGGATGCTTTCATTTGCTTGTTGCACTGTCTTTAAAAAAAAAAACAATGCGGGGGCCTCATGGGGACCGGAGGAATGAGTAGTTTTTATTTTCATTTGCTTGCTTCGTGAAAGGTTTTCTGTTCCTAGCATGTTGTGTGCGTTCATAATGCATGCCTCTCACTTCCATTTGGGTAAGAAGGAAGGCCAGATTTCTTTCAAACATTGCTGCGTTTGTCATGTCTCCATATTCTAATGCTTCCATAAATCCAGTCTCTCCATTATGTGGAATATCAGTCGTGGGTTTAAGTTTGCACATGACGTTGAGGACAGACAGATGGAAGGTAAGCTAGGAAAACGACTTAGATGTGGAGGGGAAAACTTCCCACTCTGTGTAAGGGTTCAGTTCGCTGAGAGCCAGGGAAGCATAATACTGACAGTCTGGAGATTATAGTTGATTAATAAATGTCTGCAATGACATAATTTAGAGATACTGATTTCAGCCTTTTAATTCCCTCCTTTCCTTTTTAATTTTTAAAGCCTGGATAGTTTATATGGTAGAGCCAGACCATCATGATTTGAAAATTGGACGTGCATAAACTCCACCTGGCCTCATTGCAACTGAACCTTTCACATGCATGAGTAGAGCTAGCTGCCTAGTTCTGGATTTTTTTTTCTCTGTGGTTGTTTGGAGTAGCACAAGGGCACTATGTTTTCAGGACTGCATTGTTGTGTGGGGGGTCTATGGGTAACGAGACACCCTCATAACCCTAAAATCATAGTAGAAGTTATTTATCCCCCAACTTGCAAAGTATCTCTAGTCGCTCAATACCCCCCAAGGCAAATATGTATTTTTTTTTTTAATGTTCGCAAATCAGTGTTGAAAACTAAGACCAGTTCAAAATCGATTTGGAAGGAACAACGTTTAAAATTAATATTGAAGTCGTGTAGTAGAACCTGGGTCTGGTGGTCCTCCACATAACCCCCCAGTGGTTTTCTGGTTCATGGCCCGTAAGCTGGATATTGATGATAATTATTTTCAGGTAACTCTGGCAGCCAGCGGAAAGTCAGCCGACTGCAGTGTTGAAGAAGAACCTTGGAAACGTGAAAAATAAGGATATGACTGTCAGCAAATTCTTGAATAAACTCCCCAGCGTATCTTATGGTAAAAGAGGATATAAAAAGTTTTCTTCAAAAAGACAAAAAAAATATTTCTATGTTTACTTAATCTGTTAGCTGAGGCTTAGAGGATCTGTTGTGAGTCAGTGATAGGCACGGTGCTGTGTCTTTGCCAAATAATGCTTGGTAACCATCTAATTTTCTCACTTGTATTATTGTTTGAATGGATGTCGCTGGAGGAATCAGTTTGAATTGAAGACGCATTCTTGCCAGCTTCCCTTTTCTCTCAAGATGCAGAACCGTGGATGGTCTCTTCCCAGGGGACACGACTAAAGCCGTGTGGCACATTCCAGGGATTTGGATTCACGAGCAGACAGTCAGTGTGTTACTCCTTCCAATGTTCTCCATGCTTCACCTTGTAACACACAAGAGATTCTGTTAGAAGCCTTCGGAAGTAAATCCCCTTAAATGTCTTGTAGCGTATGTCCTTGTGTTGATTAAAACAAAGTACCCATCTTAAGGTACAATTTCTCTTCCGTATACGCTTTAAGTTAAATGGCTAAATGTTTCACAAAGAGAGTCATAGTGGGAGCCATATCTTAAAGGTAGCCGGTTACGGAACCCACTGAGTCTCTGCTCTACCCCATCTAGTTTATGGGAATAATTGTTGAATTTCAAAGTAGGTTTCATCATTTGCTCTAAATTTGATAAGGGATTAGGATGTAATTTACATATAACTTCTGTATATATTGACAAAAGTAAGAGAGCACAGTCAGCATAAATTTTAACCAGATTCAAAGATTCAAATTTGTTTGTGTTTCGTTTGCATCACCTGGCATAGTGACATCAAGTGAGATTATTTGATCTAGGCTTCAGTGTCTTCGTTTCGTTCATACAATTCTTATTTGGGTCTCTACCAAAAAAAGACGTTCTTAATCCCCAACTTATTTCAGTCATGTTCTCATCAGACTAGAAGGCTTAATCATTCTACTCTCCTCACAGATGGAGGGTAGTCGGGTTGGCTGTGCCTCTTTTAATACTAATCTCATGATAAAAACAAAACCAAAACACTGTTAGTTATCTAATATGCAGAAAGCTTTTTGTTATATTATATCACAGCACCTAAAACCAGTTACAGGACACAGTTGGAAGCAGAGCCCATCTTTTCCCCCAGTCTTCTCTGTGGAAAGGAACAGAAAACAAACATAGGTGCAAAATCCTATAAAGGTGACATTCTTATGGCAAAGTCAAGGTAGCCTTGAACCATGAAGTAGGAACAAAGGATGGCTCAACAGGACTTCACAGATGGAATCTTCTCAAGGCTGTGGAAGTTTGAGGGAATACGTAATAGAATTGGAATAGCCCAGTCGGTGCCTTGCATGCTGTAGGCACCTCCAAGCTACATTTTTCAACATTTTCTGTTGAATAACCCACAGTATTTTCCTAAGGTTGCTGGCTTTAGGAGTTTGCTGAGGACTTGAGCATGAATCATTGAGAAATAAGCACATTTGACGTGTGTAGAACCTTGGTCCAATGGGAGGGTAAGGTGTTTATCTGCTGCAGCAGATGGGTGCTGAGATATTCAGGAAGAGTCACAGAGTCCAGATTTTCTTAGGAGAGGGTGTTTATGGACATACATGCCCTTTATTACCCTCTCCTTGTGACTTTTCTCTTTCAAATCAGATACCTTTGGAACACACAAGAGACATGAGATTCTAGTAGTTTTGTCTCTTAAACTCTAGTGGTTTTTTTTTGGGGGGGGGAGATAAGAATCAGTGTTAAGCAGTATTAAGTAGTTTTTGCTTCTTTTTTTAAAAAATACATTTGCCTTCATTTTCATTAGATGGACAGTTAAGAGGGTGGCCAAGGGCATGCTGAAATGTAGTGGAAAATGCACCCTTTACAGCAGATGTTGTGGGTCAAAGGGACAGTTCCTGGGTTTAACTGTGAAACTGTTAAGGATCATCGTTAAGTGGTACTCCCAAGAGCTTTTTTATGGTGAGGAGAAGGATTTAGGCAAGGCATCTAGGAGCTTGTGGTTTTGCTGTTTAACGCCAGCTTAGCACTTTTACGTACTGGCATGTTACTCAAAGGAGTGGTCTCAGGATCGTCTTCCGAAGACTCTGCCTAAAAGTCTTCCCTGTTTGTTTGTCTTCAGCTTTTTTCTAGTTATCGAGTTAACCTACAAATATATAAGGGGACAGCATGTTCAGAAGAAACTAGGTGCACAGCTTAGCAAAGCAGGTTTTTCAGGTTTGAATCTATGCAATAAGTTTCGTGAGAATATACTTAGGAAATCAGTTCATCTGGAAGTTCAACAAATCAGTAAAAATAAGCAATGTCTCAAATTCAGGACTAGCCTGAAAACCCAGGATGTATGTAGAGCTGACGTGTGACTGTGTCCTCTGTTTTTTTTAGGCCTCATTCATTCTTCTCATGCCATACCCACTGGGGTTTTCCTTGCCCAGCATATGCGCCATAAACAGAACACGTAGATCCAGAATATACCTCTAACAGCCATTTTCTAAACAGGATATTATAGCCTGTCCGTTATATGCATAGATTTATTTTAATAGGTCCAACACAAATGTGAATGCTTGTAACAGTCCATTAATGTTTGACCATGCATAAATATTATACTTGTATACAGACGTGGCAGGCCAGATACATACACTGCATCCCTTAGGTTCTGTTAAGTCAGGGCTTTGGCAACACCGTTTTTTATGAACTCATTCACTATTTTTAGGAATCAGAATTGTCAGGAGAAAACCAACGAGGTAGACTTTTATTCTCTCCTTTCTCATTTATGTCTTTTGGGAAACCCAAGTGGAGTCATCATTTGATTACCTACTACAATTCAATGAATCAAGTCCTATCAGTGAAAAGAATCACACTCAAGGCAAAGCTTTACCTTAGATCTTTGAGGATGTGCCTCCCATGCAGAGAGCATCAGACAATCAAGGCAATCATCTAAATCACGCAGATCTTCAATATAAAACTTCAGATGATGAGTTTTGAGCCAGGTAGCTGTCAGGTTTGATTCTTCACTTCCTATTGTGTGTGGAAACACACCCTAGAGCATCATTGCCTGCAGAAGTGGCCATGTTCCAAAAAATATAAATATTTACTTCTCTTTAACTACTCATCAGCTTTGGATGTTCAGGAAAGTCTAAAGAAAGGTTGCCAAAATGCCTAGCTTTTGGATTTGAACTGGTGGAAGCTGAGAAAGGCTTAGGGTAAATTCAGATTATGGGGAGATGTACTCCTGGTAGGTAAGGTCAGGAATCCCAACGACCGGTTGAATTGAGGGTCTCAGGTCATTTCCACTCGTGCACAGAGAAATATGTCATTTGCAAGTTTATATCTAGTCAAGAAGCCCCTTTGGAGTTGGATAACTCACCTACTGGGTCCCCAAAAGGAAACCCAAGCCTGCCATGCTTTTGCAAATACCACACTTCCCAATAGCAAAAGTTACGGTACAATATTTCACTTTTGTCTGAATCAAGGGTTCTGTCTGTGCTATATTTTCCATGCAAAGAAGGTCAGAGGATTAAGGCAATCATGTAGCTAATACAGATCTCCATGATCTGAACCAAGTAGCTATTAGAAATATGGCAATGAATCCAAATAGGTACCCATATGCTCAGAGAGAATTCTCCGTAGTTCAGACTCTTGATAAACAAGCCTCAGCAGCTCTTGCCTGGTGTGGTGACTAAATGCTCAGCGGTTACACCCAGTGGAGGCGGCTCTTCCCACTTCGCTGCTCTTCAGTGCTTGGGGCCATACAGTTGTGTGGGTTGCTGGTTTGGCCTTGCTTATTCTCCAAATAAATTCACTCCGAGCCAAGAAAAAGGAACAAATGGGATTTTCCAATTATTGTAATACTTGCTCTTTAAATAAGATATGACCGTCTAGGAGCCTAAAAAGATTAAGTTTAAAAACAAAAGGCTTGAAGGAATTCTGAAGTGAGAGTTTTGTAAATCTAGTTGTCAGAGAAGATAAATGGTCTCAGTATCTGGTAATTTCTGGCTAAAACCGAGAAGGACCCCTGAGTGCCAAGCCAGGGACGTTGCCTTGTAGACAGATTTGTCTCCTTGGATGGAGTGAGTTCAAAGCTGTCCAGGCGTCAGTTGCTTATGATTTTTCTGAAAAGAAAACCCAATTTCCACTCTTCCTTCTTCTCCCTTCTTATTCCAACCATCATTATTGCTGCTTAAGAGACAGTTGAATAAATGACCATCCAAGTTAGCGCGAGGGTCGGTTTTAGAATAGATGACAGGGAATCTTAACTGAGTAGTGTCTTATTTCACCTCACAGCACAGCTAATTCAGGGAATGACATAGAGGTGAGGAGAAATAATGCAGTTGGGTGGAGAAACTTTTGACTTAGACTCTGCCCATTTTTATTCATATAACTTACACAAGTCACTTTACACACAAGCTCCACTGCAGAAAAAAAACGTGAAGTGCTGGATTAAATGATTAAAACCCCCATCCAGCCCTATGAAACCACCATATAATGATCTCTACTTTAATTTCTTCTTTCATAAGAGGCTTACTGCTATAACACATTAGCTATTTATATTGTAGGTCAGAGGGGCCCACAACAATGAATAATCAATTTGGATTTTTCTCATCCCCTTTGGGGGAAATTAGATTCAAGGCTCTCTCTTCATCTGAAGTTTTACAACAAGCTTGGAAGATGGCCACGTTCATCCACAGTTTGGTATTTGGGGATACAAACAAACCTCCTTTTATAAAACTGGCCTTTGCCTAAGGCACTGTCCTAATAGAAGTAACCATTCAGCTCAGGGAAAAATGCTGCCAGAGTCATCATGAGGGGCCAGGGTGAGCCTATGGCCTCCCTCAAAGTCTTGCATCATTCCTCTTGTGGCAACAGGGCCCACCCCGAATACCCTAAACACACAGTTTCCCCCAAACAGTCCTAATTGCCGACCCAGTATGGGAATTTGGGAGCATCTGGCAAATCAACTTGAACACTCATGAAACTGGTGGAAGACTTACACAAAAACAGCGACTGTCTGTAAATATTCCCTTTCCACTGGTACGCAGACACGTACATCCATGCACAGGGTGGGCCCGGGCCAACTCCTTTCTCTGGAGAGGTATGCAGAGATATTTGGTTGAGTTCATTTTCAAATTTTCCTCTTGATTTTCTATTACTGTGGGCATCACATCACAGGTGGAGAAGGTCTGTCTTACAAGAATAGACTTGTATTGGTGATCATTGCCTTTTTCAATGCCCAGAGTTTCTAGGCTGGATCAAATGCGTGGTCTGTCTGCAAGGTGCATGCGACTGGCCATGGCCTTTGAACAATCTCTTGCACGTTCTGGTACTGCTGCAATGGGCCACGTTTGCATCCTTGCTCTTTGTCCAAACTTCTGCTAAATACGCAATACATTTGGTATTATTGTTTCGTGAGCACCTTTATTGCCAGAGAAGACTTCAGCTCTGTAGATGCGGAGCAGAGGGATGTAAAGCTAGTACTAAAAGGATCGAGTTAGTGTTTGTTTGTTCGTTTAAACTCTTAGTGCAGAAGACCTGACACTAGAGCATCAAGAAAAAGATATTTCTTAGCGGATCCATATAAGAATGTATGGAAAAGTAAGAGAAGCCCTCAAGTTCTTCTTTCATTCACTCTAAATAATATCCTGAGTAATTACTGATCAGCTTTTTTTTTCCTTTATTTTTCCATGTCCAGCTTTGCCTTACCTTCTTACTTCTGGTGCAAATATCCATTTTGATATTTTTTGAAGTCCTTCTGATTATTATACAGGGCCCTTTTGTGCTGAGGATAAAACCTGCTACTAGAACAGATCCCTCTACCTTGCAGTCAGCAGTTGACCTAGAGCCTGGGTAGCAACAGGTCTCCAGTTCCTCCAGAGACACCCCCCATCCCTGGGTGAGTGTTGGAACATAACAGCTGACTGTGACCCTTGTCATCATTCCCTGTGGGAATGGGGATGATGCAGCAGGAGACTCGCTCCTTCTGGGGCTCCGTTTCTTCTCATGGCAACCATTTAGCTGCCTAGAAACAGCCTGCTGCCTTCGGTAGGAAAGAGATGCACACACTAGCCAAGGAAGTTAGTCTAGCATATCTCTGAGTTTTCGCCTCCATGGAGCAAATTCTCTGAAGTGTATGATCAGAACGCTGGCACTGTGGTTGCTCACTTCTCCAGGAGAGTTATTCTCCTTACTAGGAACTCATCTTTTGGCATCCAGATCTTTCCATAAATGACCTTCACTCCTTCCCTTCCTCCTTCCCCTGGGAAACCTCAGCATTGCATTTCCATGTTGCACAAGACAGATCAGGTTATCTGGTCACTACAGAGATTTGTATATAAAAAACTACTTTTGTGAGGATTTTTGTATATCGTTTTTCTATTTGTTTTCTATGGCTTGAGGAGAGAGCTGGCAAACTGTGAATCTAATTTGGTCTTGCTGCCCACGGATATATTTTGGCTTCCTGGTAAAAATCTATGTTACCAGGGACAACATATTGCCCTCTGATCAGTATTGCATCTACCCCCAAATTCCTCCAGTCCAACCTTACATTCTTTTTTAAACAAATCCGTGGGCTTCTTTGCTATTATTTATAAAGAGCATGAGAAAACATATTTAGAGTCCTGGATATTATATGGTTAATATTGATTTAGCCTTTAATGATGTTATAGGTTTGTATCTATTCTTCATAAACCATAAAGAACTCAGTGTAGACTGAATTGATCTATTTAGTATCTGTAATTTTGCAGACAGATATCTTCTTATGGTATTTTCTATATAACCACATACGTAGAATTACAACTAATTAGAGCACAAGACGTTTCTACAGCAATTTAGAGCTGTCAGTTGTTTCCTGAGCATACAGCCACATTTGAAAAATTTAAGAACCCAGTCCTTTGCGATGCAATGAACAAAATGACCATTAAGAGCAAGGAGTCACTTCAGTCCCTTAGCTGGTTAGGATATGCATTTAAACGATTAGTCTTTTGAACTCAAGGAATGGTGCTGACTCCTTATTATTTTTTTTTTTTAATTAATTCATTTATTTATTTTTGGCTGCGTTGGGTCTTCATTGCTGGGCTTTCTCTAGTTGCCGTGAGCGGGGGCTACTCTTTGTCGCGGTGTGCGGGCTTCTCATTGTGGTGGCTTCTTTTGTTGTGGAGCACTGGCTCTAGGCGCACAGGCTTCAGTAGTTGTGGCATGCGGGCTTCAGTAGTTGTGGCTCGCGGGCTCTAGAGCGCAGGCTCAGTAGTTGTGGCGCACGGGTTTAGTTGCTCTGTGGCATGTGGGATCTTCCCAGACCAGGGATCGAACCCGTGTCCCCTGCATTGGCAGGCGGATTCTTAACCACTGCACCACCAGGGAAGTCCCCTGACTCCTTATTTTTGACACCAGGTCTTGTTTTTCTAGCTAAGCATTCTAATTTTGCTTTTCTCCAAGAAAATGAGAAATAAGGTGATAATAGTTGGATCATTTCTATGTCAGAACCTCCCATGCCTTCCTAATAATTTACGTGAAAATTGGCTTAGGAAAACTTTGAATAGAGAGATTGAGGGTGAGTGCAAGGAAGCAAATCAGGACAGATTTGTCGCAGTTCGTTCTTGCCAAGCAAATTGGTAGTAAATGTCACATTGTTATGTGAATTGAGCACATATTTTTAAGAAAAAAAAATACTGGTACCAGCTCTGAAGCAATACTCCATCACTGGGGCTTAGAGTCACATTGAAATTGTTTAGAAGCAGCCCAGGTAGATCCTGTCCTCAGGTGAGTAACAATCTATGTAAATTTCCCCAAAAGGCAAATCAATAACTACTGCAAAGACAAGGGAGGGTCTTCCTTCCACCAAACACGCTTTCTGATATGGTTGTAGGGCTAGTATTTTTGCTATGTTTTAGGAAAATAGTTACATAGAAAGTGTACCGGTGTGTATTTGAACCCGCTCCTCATTAAGCAAACAGATTAGATGTGCCCTCAACTGGCAACGACTGTATCTGTGATTTTCAAGTACAGATAGCTGTCAAGCATGAAGTTCTTGTGTGTACACAGTAACACTTGGTTCACGCATGAAGAACAGTGCCTATGCACTTTGTGTAGCTATAATGTAGGTATCTGTGTAATTTCAGTGAAATGGTATATAGATGTATTGTAATTTAATTTAAATGTTATTTTTGGCCGTTCATCTAAGTGCAGTAGACATGTTGATTGTTGTTTTGAAAACCCAATTTTCCTTCCTAGATAACTAGTAGTGAATAATTTTTCCTCTTTCTTAAAGTGACTTGGGAATGTATATCAGTGAAGAACTTATCTATGAATCCTTTGTACCGATGATTGTTTGAAAGTCTGTGTGTGTCTAGTATCTTTGTAATTGTGCAATTCGGGGCAAAGGAGGGTTGGGTATGTGTCATGATTCTTAGTGAAAGGGCATCTGAAGTCTATGTAGTGCCCAATGAGTGCAACTGTGGAACTTTTGATTATCTAGGCTTAGGTAGATTTAGAATGAGGACATTTATCTGCAGCCCTCCTTCACTTGACGGATTGGGCTCACAGAGACAAAAGGCTCGTCTCCTTCTCAGCATGAGCATGTTAGCATTATATCCTTAGGAAAAGGTCTGTCTCTTTGGTTGCCAAATACTGACCATGATGCTCATGACTTAAAGGTTCTGAAGAGCCTCGTCCTCCTTGGTTTCTTGAGTCACGGTGTAGGAAAGACATTCACTGACTAACTGCCGTGTAGGCAAAACCCCACAAAAGCACACTTCTGGTAGTAAATTGCACAGTTGTCTCTAGAAAGATAAGAGAAGCACAAGGATGGTCAGTGTACAGCTTTGGGGTTGCAAAAGAAAAAAAAACAACTGGTGAAGCACAGATCCCACATATGTGAAGGGAGTAGGACCTCTACCTAGTAGGCTTTGTGTGTGTGTTTCAAGCAGTGGAAGAGGAGGTTCAATGCAATTACATACCTGCCTCCAAAACACACATCCTGTCTAATTATCACTAAATGGAATGCTGTGGGGTCTATAGTTCCTGTAACCCCTTTTTCCTCTGTAAGGACAGAGAAGGATGGCCATGTGCAGCTGGGAACACTGAGTGCCCCTCTCTTTTTCACAAGAGGAGTGAAGCTTAAGAGATCCTCTGAGGGCACAGAGCACGTTAATTTTCAGTGTCTTCTCCAATGATTGGAGTGAAGGAATGTAAATGGGAACAGGCACATTTTTTTTTTCCTGAAAATGTGGCTTCTTCAACTCCCGTCAAATTCAGGATGAAACCTTACCGAAAGAAAGCTAACCTTTAGGCTGGATTCCCTTTGAAGATTCTTTTTGTGTCCAGAATGAAAGCTAAGAATATTTGTTTCCCTCACAGAGCACATAGTGTTTAAAGACTAATGAATGAAAAAAGATAAAAACTTCAACTAATTTTGGGGGTGTTTCTTACATATGGTACTAGGAAATGCCTTGCTGGCAAAGCACATTTTGGGTAGTTGAAGTATTTTGTTCTCACCTTTGGCTTTCTAAGCTTTCTTACCATGTGGACTGATTACTGTAACATTACATGTGTACAATAACTGCATATTCTTTATATACGGGAAATAATCTGTAAATCCAATATTTCACTAAGTGTTTTAACTTTTATGTATATATCTCTCATCAATAAACATGGATTCCAATTTCTCTTGGTTGTTGCCTCTCCTTCAACTCCAATTTTAAACTAGTGTTGGTTACATGGTGTCTCCAGTGCTCCTTTTGGAGAAGTTTGTGGATCAAAACCTACAGTGTCTAAATGAATATTTTCTAGGAAGCCTAAATATATGGTGGAATCACATCTTATGCTATAAAGTTATGAGTTGGGGCTTCCCTGGTGGCGCAGTGGTTGAGAGTCCGCCTGCTGATGCAGGGGACACGGGTCCGGGAAGATCCCACATGCCGCGGAGCGGCTGGGCCCGTGAGCCATGGCCGCTGAGCCTGCGTGTCCGGAGCCTGTGCTCCGCGACGGGAGAGGCCACGACAGTGAGAGGCCCGCAAAAAAAAAAAAAAAAAAGTTATGAGTTCGATAAAAATGGTGTATAATCAAAATTATCCTTGTGAACAGCCAGTATGTGTTATCCCCCAAATCTCAGGAGCCTAAAGCAACTGAGGTTGATTTCTTGCTCATGTGATACGTCCATCATAGTTTGACTGGGGGACTCTGTTCCACGCCGTCCTCACTGGGGGGTCTGAGGGAGACTCTTCCGCCTTATGCCTCTGCACTTGCCAAATGCAGGAATAAGAGAACATGGCACATCTTACACTGCCTCCTAAAGCTTCCTTCCGAATGTCGTATGCCTCACTTGTGCTCATTTATCAAAGGCCAGAACTAGTCACATGGCTCTACTTAACTTCAGAGAGACAGGAAAGTGCAACCTTACCAGATGCCCAGGAGTAAAACTGGAAAGAGTTGATGAACAGCTCTAATGACTATTAGGCTGTCAAAAATTCCTTAAATCATTCATAAAGGATAGTATACAAACATATAGTCTTTTCATTTGTCCAACACAGCAAGTTTTTCTCTAGTATTGAGAAAATCATTGCTATGGAAGTAAGTGACGAGCATTTAGCAGTCACGTTGTAGAAATAAAATGCATGGTCTTCAAAAGTAGGATCACAGTCAGCATAAGATTTTCATGCAGTGAAAGGTGTATATTACAGGAAAGGAGCCCCACTGAGAGAGTGACAGGTTTTCTGTTCACGCTCCAGGGCACCCACATATTGAATAGAATGGCTTGGATTAGTTGAATTGTTCTCTCTCATTGTTTTTTGGGAGGAAAGGAAGCAAATATTTGATTTTAACTAAATAAAATACATGTATGTGATACATCACAATTTCTTTCACCAGTGTCAGCAATTTATGTAAATTGTTGGTGAAAATGGACGCTTCCTTTGAAAAGGCACTTTTCCTTATCCCTTTGGAATCAAGCGTAGATCACACCCATATTCAAAATGTTATTAAAATCTTACTTACAGAAAATATGCTTGTCGGTGAGTTTCTGGGCTGCCATTTGGTCTTAAAGTAGCAAAGAGCCACAAATCAGAGTCAAGGGAAACTTAACACATTCGTATGGATACAATTTGATCATTATCAACTACTTCAAAAGAGGACACAGGCCAAGAGAAGCTTGACTTTGCTTGTTCAGGGAGTATGATCCCCATGTTCTAATTTCTTACCCTGTCTTCTGGAACAGAGGTGTTTAATCCACCCACTGTCATGTAAGGCCACTTGTATGTTGCTTCAACTTAAAGAAGAAGAAGAAAAAGAGGAAGAAGAAGAATTACTATTATTTTGGGGGTGAGAATGGAAGGAGGAATTGTAGACTAGGAACCAGTAGGCAAGAGTTCTGATCTTTGCACAGTCACTAAAGAGTTGTGCAAATGTGGTCAAGTCCCTTTGCAATTTGCAAGTCATTTTGACATATGTAAAATTAGGGGTTTGAAGTAGATAATTTCTAAACTTTTGAACTCTGAAATTTGAATTCCATCAGCTGGGTAAGTCATCATGACTACAGATAGTTTTATTTTTTAATCTGATTATTTTAACGTCATATACATACAAAAGAATATATGTAACCTACATCTAAGTCATGATGCCACATGATATAGAATCATACGAATCTATTAGCCAGTGGGAAAATTAAAGCATCACCAATAACTTCCCTTGACCTTTGTACTCCTTCCTTATCCCATTAAGCTGCTTTACTCCCCAGGGGAAACTGCTATGGGAATTTTGTGTTTATCATTCTTCTGCTTTAAAAAATATTTTTATCTCACACACATGCATGACTCCACAAGCTTTGCTTATTACTGAGCTTTATAAAAAAGGGTATCGTACCGCATGTGGTCTTTTCCAACATGTCTCTTTTCTACCTAATGTGTTTCTCAGTTCATTCATGTTGTTACAAGTAGCTGTGGTTCATTCATTTTCACGGCTGTATAATTACATAGTATGTGAAATGTGCCACACTTTGGTTATTCACTTTCCTGCCAGTGGACATTTGCCTCATTCCCGGTTGTCTTCAGATGTCAAATAGTGCTGCTATGAACGTTTTTATATGTTTCCTGGGCATTGCTCCTAGATGCAATAAAAAAAATTATGTATTTGTGCGTCTGTGTATCTCTCTGTGTATGTGTGTGTGTGCACATGACTGAAAAGTTCCTGTTCAACTCTACCTATTTGTCCATGGCTCCTTCAGTGGGCCCACTTGTGGACACTGTTGGACCGCCTGGTGATCCACACGCTGCTGGCTGTTTAATGGAGTCCATCTCTCTAGCAGGAACACAGAGCATTTTTAAAAGGGGAATTTAAATTGAAAGCTGAAGCCTTCTTTCCTCAGGCTCACATGGTACGGCCTTTGAGTACAGCTCTGACGGTAGCCAGAGAGGACCTGCTAAGTCTTTGACCTCTTCTTTAACCAACAATGCGCTAGGCCCAGCAACTCCACCCAGCATCAGCAGGTTGTTTGCTATGATGCAAAGAAGAAGAAGTTTGACGGAAGAAGTTACAGGAAGTCACGAGAAATCTCTCCACCTACCCCAAGAACCACTAGTAGCCCCATTAGCTACACTCCCTTCCCCCCGCAATGGAAGATTATAGAAACGTAAAGGGTAGTGTCTCTGCAAAGGAAGAGCTCTGTGGCTGCCACCTAAGGCATGAAACCTTCTGGCACCTCTACTTCTAGGCATAGTGACATAAACAGGAAGCCAGGACTCTGTACTTCAAAGAACCACAGGTGACAGAAGGTTCAGGCACCTCCAAGGAAACTTTCATGAGGTGCTCTCCCCGCTCGTTACCTCTCAGCCCAGACAGGAAGGCATGGGTGGAGATGCCCACACAGTTGACGTGGGCCCTGCCAGAAGAGAGGACTGTGGAGTCCCTGGAAAATAATACTTTCCTTCCTGGTAATTTTTTAAGTTTCGTTTATTCATCGTCCTACTGAGGCGGTGAGAGGCCATCTTTAATTCTCTTGTCATTATAAGAAAAACTGAGACACAGAGGCTGAAATTCAGGAGTGTTAGTTGGGTCCACACTGCTTGTCCAAAAACAGTATAAGGAGAATAAAGCCATCCAATATGAATACTGTTTTTACTCTCAAACATTTAAAAGCAATGACTTTAAATTCTTCTGAATTCCAGAGAGCAGACAAATAAAACGTTATTGCATTCCTCCAATGCACTTGATTGGGTCAGAATGAATATGAAAAACCCCAAGATCTATTTTTGTCTGTGATTTGAGGTAATCAGATTTTAGCCTTCCAAATATTGTCTGGAAAAATCTAGAGGCCTCCAGTGAAGGAAAAAAAAAGGCAAATATATAGAGCTGCTGTTGTGTGAGGTATACTCGTTTTGTGGCATGACCTGGCTCTCCTGGAATTCTCCAACGCCTTCTGTCACTTCTCAGATGTTTTCCAGGCCTGGATAACATACTGCTCACAGAGGGAGGGGCCGTGGAATTTCCAAATTGTCTTCATCTGAGTGAAAAGTTCAGCTGGAATGCAGTATCCCCTTTCTGGTTCCTTACCCTCCTGATCCCAGACTTTCCTCTCATCTCGGTGAGGAGGATAGAGATCATTCTAGACTGTAAGACCGGAAAGGACCTCAGAGGGCAAATATTTGAAGTTTAGCCGGGCCTTTTTGCAGATGAGGAAATTGGTACCATAATTTAAAATGAATTAGAGGCAATACAGCGGCAAACCAAGGTTAAATCCTGGTTCTGTATCTTTCCTAGCTATAGACCATTGGCGTGTTTATGTAGCCTCACCTTCCTCATCTGTGAAATGGGGCTAATCATGCCTATGCTGTAGGGGCTTTAATAGAGAATATCCATAAAGTAGTTAGCACAGTACTTGGCACATAGTAAATGTTCAATCGGTGATAGCTATCGTCATCATCACTATCATCATCCTTAGCATTATCAGTCCCAATTTCTTAGTAACTAAGCTGGAGGAAGCCTGGCTTCCTCTTTCCCAATCTGGGCTCTTTTACAGCCATATCACATGGACTCTAGTCTATAACCCAGGGCTCAGCTGGCCTTCCAAAAATCTGAGCTTTGTTGCTGGACCATGACCTCTCCTGAACCGGCCTGGGATAATCTTTTCTTTACTCCTAGAGAAGCTTCATGAACGTTATAAGCCTGTACAGTTGGGTGTTCCAGGTGCCCCTCTACTCTTTCTTCTGTTACTTGCCAAAGCTCTGATCCGTGGCAGTGACGGAAGGCGCTGGATTTCTTTGGGGACAGGAAGCAAATCTCAGCCTGGCCAAACTGGCCTCTCACTGGGATGGGAGCCTGAGCTGGCTCTTCCAACGGGAAAAGAAACAGGACATCCAGAAATGAAGCAATCCTTTTCTTCACTGGAGAAGTCCCTCGAGGAGTCCTTAGCTCAGAGTGTTGCAAGTACTAGTAGAGAGAAATGTCATGAGAAAGGCTGCTTCTATGGAATGTGGCCAACCCAACAGGGCCCTCCAGAACTCTCCTGGCTGAGTCTATTCTCAGCAGTTTCCCTTCCCATCATCCTTTTCTCCTTTGCCCTGTCTTCTCTCCTGAATGACATTCCTGTTCTCTCTCAACAGTTTCAAGAACAGAACTTGGGAGAAACTTTTTGCAGCCTTTTGGTTTGGGGAACTCATCCATTGCTATGTTAGCATCATCTCAAAATGACACCCCTCTACAGCTTTCAGCAGCTGCAGGGCACGGCCACAATCTTAGGAGCCTGAGAGTTATGATTAATAGTAGCTATTGTCATAGGTAGCATCCCTAGAAGCAGAATCTTGGACAAGATTCAAGTTCACATGATTTTTTTGAGGGAGTACTTCTCAGGAAATGCAGTAAGGACGTGAGGGTAGCAGGAGACGGAAGGGAAAGAACTGAGCAAGGAGATAGCTTCAGGGAAAGTCTAACTTTAAGTTGTCTCCCCTTGAGGAAAGGAGACTTGTCTTTGGCACCCATATCAGTCAGTCATTGACTGTGGGCCACTTAGGGGTTGCAGGCAGAACCTCCAGGGTAAGGCAGATCCCGTTTGCAGAGAGTCATTCTCTAGAGAAGGGGGCAGCTGTGAGCTGTTAGCTTTGACACAGCAGTTACGGAGTGGGTGCACCAACCTCAGAAGGAGAGCTGGGCAGTGTACCAATGGCATCTACTACAGCTTTCCTCCCACACGTACCTACCACGTGGCAGGCTCTTGTATACCTTAGGTCTTTTAGTTCTCACAAAAATTCTGTGAGGCAGGTGCTATCACCCTCCATATTTTACAGGTACTGAGATTCAGAAAGACCTCAGAAGAATTTGGCCTGGAGGTCTTTCCAGTTTCAATGCCTCCCACTATACTGGCTCCATTTCCCCAAATAACCCAGCAGAGTATATTGCCACAGCGCCCATTTTTAAATGGCATTTGAACCTCTGTACAATACTCCTCAATGTCTAATCTGGAAGCCTAATTATGCATAAGACTTTCGGCCATTCAGAGAGGATTGGTCATGCTTGTCACACCATGAGGTCCTGCATCACCCACTTAACTGTTCCCTGGAGTCATGAAACACATGTTTGGTAAAGAGAAGATCTCAAAGGATACCTGGAGCCCTAAGGTACACCTGTAATAGCTGGCCCAGCTCATCAGAACATATTCTCTTCCCTAAAGCATTTGCTAAGTCAACAGGCCAATGAGTGTCATCTTGAGTGTCAACTCTGATCAACTCTGAGAGTGACAGGGATTCCCAGGTGCTATCTGTGCTCACTAGGAAAGAATCCCACTTGATTTTCAATGACTGCAAAAGAAGAGAGAAGAGGCTGTGATTTATGTTTGTCTTATATCTGCCATCCTTAATTGTAGCAGCCAGGATGAGTTGCACTGCAATGACAAACAACACCCAAGTCTCGGTGGCCTCAGCAAGATGAGTTTATCACGAGCTCAAACGTAGGTCTCCCACAAGTCTGCATAGGTCACCCTGCTCATTGCACCCTGCTCAGGATCCCTCGATGATAAACCAGCTACTATCTTGAACAGCTGTGTTGACACGACGGGAGAAAAGAGCTCTAGGAAGGTCCTCACGTGAACAGTTAAATGTCACCTCAGCTCCCAACTCATTGGCCAGAACTAACACACAGCCCCACCCAGCTCCAAGGGAGACTGCAATGCAGTCCCCCCACGTTCTCAGAATGGAGATGATCCAGAAACATTTGTTGAACAGCACTAACAAATTATTATGGTCCACTTCTCTCATCACCTGGTATTTGGTGCACTCTGTTTTCCAAATGCAAAACGTGCTCACCACTTCACCAAGGGAGACCACGTCAAAGTCTCATCCAATTATGGCATCAAGCTCAAAACCCAGGATCTTGGGGTGATGCATGGAAATTCCTACATATGGTTCGGACGTGGCTCCTGTTGGCCTAGAAATCAATAAACAAAAAAATCCAAGTTTTCCGCAGCTTCTAATCTCTCCTCCACACCGCCCCCACCCCCAATATAGTCCCATAGTGAAATAGGGACAGTTTAGTCACCTTAAATACTCCCATCTGGAAAGGGGACAAATGGAAGAATTACAAGTCACTGAGCCATAGCATTTCAGAAACCCCGGTGGGCAGACTTTAGAGGACCCCCTCAACGACGGATAAGGGAAATTTCTTGATTAGGTCTTGATCTGGCTCCCTGGGAGCCAGTCCATTCCTCCCCCCCTCCAATGACCCTGAATCCCACCTCCTAGTAAGCCCTTCTTTTTCCATTATACTTCATTGATGCACATGAAGAGAACATTCAGGAATAATCTCTCCTGTAGCAACATCTTCTGCTTTCTGTTAATAGAAAGTTAGGGTCCAGGGCTCCTTTTAAGTCTTGATCAATTACAGAGTTTTCTAGTTGAGGCTCATGGTCTCTGTGGCATCACGACTCTTATAATTTTTGCTGGCTTTCGTCTGTTTGACTCTAACCAGCCTCATATACCAATAGCCACACCTACAGTCCTTCTAGAAACACATCCCTTTCTCTTAATTGTGGGTACCTTGAGTCAATCAGTCTTAAGGCAGAAAGCCATGTCCTTAGATTTATTTTTCCCAGAGGCTTTTTTTTTTTTTTAAATGAAAGACTATGCTGAATGCTGCCTTAGGTCCTGCAGGGGTTTTAACAATAGACATGATAACCATGTACTTGAATTGATTTTGCTTTTGAGGCTGAGCTGGCTTTTAGGGCATAAAACATCTCTCTATTTTATCTTCAATTATTTGGGGTTGAGAAGCAGTGATTTCTTCCAGCTGTACAGGTGTTCACATTTCTAGAATCTCTCCTTCCCTCTGGCAGGTAACGTAAGTATTTGAGTTAGTGACTGTGCCATCCGTCAGGGTCTCCAAGTGTCTCTGATGGCAGAGCCTGAGGCCTGTGATGAATGTATGGCATGAGTGGGCAATAAACTTTGTTATTAGGGGCCATGGAGAATTTGTATTTGTTTGTACTGCAAATGGCTGCTTGATACATCAGGCAAATTTATCTCCCACTCTGGGTTTCAGCTTAGGTGTTTCCTTTCTGTTGCAGCCTCATTTGGAAACAAAATCAAACACTTAAGTTTCAGTAACTATCTGAGGATGATACATGTTTAACTGGTCTGAAGAGAAGGGAACTCAACTGTCAGAGGTTTCCAAAGGCAAGGTGAAGGAAAGGCAGTCTCGGCTGCTATAATGTAAAAGTTGTTTTTCTAAGATTGAGGCTAGAGAGTCTCAGAATCACAAAAAAATTTTTCTGCACCAATTTCAAGTTAGAAATATATATATATATTAGAAACAGCTATGTTATTGGAAAATAAAATAATGAATTGGGTGATTAAAAATGACCCCACACTAATGTTATACCTTTATTTCTGCCCCAATGGAATGGGTGTCTAGATATCCTCTGAATTGATGGAAGTCAGGAGGAAAGTCTTTCCTCTTTCTCCAGCTGGATTCTTGCTGCGGGGAATGCTCATGTTGCTTAGTGGAGCACACAGGCAGTTTCTTGTTTAACATGTATCAAATCTGTATTAAGTGCCAGACACTGGTCTATGGATATCTTTATTTATATCCTCACAACAACTCTATGACACACGTGCCTTCGTTAACCCCATTTAACAGATGAACAAACTGAGGCCCAAAAATGTTAAGTAAGATGCCCTCAGGCATACTGTTCACTCAGTAAGTAGTAATCAGGGGGGAGGAAAAGATACCCCTTTTCTATTCTTCTCTTGGATAGTTGGAGACTGGAAGGCAGATTAATTTTGCAAGGGTGCTGCCACCATAACTTCCATCACCAGCTCTGCCACTGGACATGTCTACCACGTTCCTACAGCTGTGAATCTCTCTTTACTTCTCGCTTGTCTGTGTGTCATTTGCTCAAGATTCAAAGTCCTGGGCAGGAGGGTCCTTTTGGCCAAGCTTGTCTAGCTCAAGCTTAAGTCATGCTTTTCTGTTTCTCACCTGTCCACAAGGTACCTCAAGACGTAGACATCTCCTGGGCTCTGCTGGATCTCTTCTCAGAGGTACTTTCTCTGCACACACTTTGGGTTAGAGCTTCCTGCACCAGCTGAACCAGGAACCCCTCTACCATTTGCTTTCTGTCTTCTAAAATCTGTTGAAATCTCTTTTTCTGAAGTGACTTCTTCCATTCTTTTGTGTACAGGTTGGTCTATACTTTCGATACATTTGTTATAATTTGAGTAATTCTTAAGAAGAAAAATACATAAATGATTATATTCAAGCTGTTGACTTTAACTGACAGTCCAAGGGGGAATATCCATTCTCAAATGTGAGCAATAGTGCATGTTGCATCCTTTCCCAACCAGCAGTGCCAGGCCCATATGTCCCTCGTTTATACACACCATTGTATAAGAAGCTCTTCTATACAGTAAGTCCCCTACATATGAACCTTCAAGTTGCAAACTTTCAAAGATGCAAACATGCCCTGTATGCCAGCTGTTGTACTGTACTATTCAAGATACTATACTGCAAGATTAAAAATGTTTTATTTTTTGCTTGTTTACTTTTTACGTATTATTTGTGAGAAAATTATTATAAAGCTATTACAGTACAGTACTATATAGCTGATTGTGTTAGTTGGGTACCTAGGCTAACTTTGTTGGACTTACGAACAAATTGGACTTACAAACGTGCTCTTGGAACAGAACCCGTTCGTATGTAGGAGATGAACTGTACACCATCACTCCTCTAGCTAGCTAGGTCCACTCTGACATCTTGGTGACATTCTGCTAACTCTTAAGCAGCTGTCCTGGGGAATATATTCACAGCTTAATTCTCTTATGACCTGATTGAAAATAACCAGACACCATATCCCCATTCAAATACCCTGGGAAAAAGAATCTCCAAAATGCAACCAGTGAATTAGGTTCCTCCTTTTCTGCCACGTAAGATGTGTCTCTTGCTATGCTTCACCTGTGCATTCGTTCAGCACTTATCATTGAGCACCTGCTATGTGCCAGGCATTTTGCTGGGTGTAGAGGACACTGCAGGGAACGTGAAGCTTATTGTGAAGGCTACGCCACTCCAGCTACTGGCGATTTGAAATCCTTCCTCAATTGTAAGAATGCAATGGGGAGAGGACATCCAGGCACTGTGGACCTGATTTAACTTCCTTATCCCCAGGCTATGCAAGCTGGTGTGTGTGAGTGTGATGTGTGTGTATCTGTGTGTGTGTGATGTTTCTTCCTGGAGTGGGCAATGTGAGATATGCCTTTCCAAGGCTTGCTCTTCATCTGCTTTTAATTCCTGTCCTTCATCATCTCTCCTCCATTAACCCCATCTATCTCTGGTGTCCCCTCCCTTTCTCCT